AAAACGGTGCGCGCATTAAAATAAACGCCAGAAAATATAATAAAAAAACATTTATACGGGCAATTAAATATTAATTTATTTTCTTTATTGTATATGTATGCAACACGGACAACCGTAATTATAGGTCAAACTGCCGGTGAATCTTAAATGTTTTAGTGTCTACTGAAACCGACCAATAATATTGTTGGCGCGGAGTCTCCGAACGGAACCGTCTCTACGGTACGCTGGAGCACTGCTCATGTCAAGCAGAAATCGTGAGCTCCGGTAAATCCGCCAACGCGCTGGGCTTTCTTTATTGCACAATATCGAATTTCAGTGATTGTAATCACGAAAGCAAAAACATTTATGTCCATATGATAGCTGAGCTCTGTCCTTGAAAGATGATCACGTCTGCGTCTTGTTTGATAATTGATTTTTAAAATTTTATTTCAACTCGTCGCCGGATTCAAGATTTTTTCAACAGAATTATTACCGAATGACTTTAAAACGACGTTGGACTGAACAAGTAGTTGTGTGCCAGTCGTAATTTATTTAAATGTCACTTATTTAATTTGTTGTAAAATTGTGTGACGTTGTTTGAAATCGTTCAACTCTAAACAGAAATAAAATGAAAATGGTAAATCCTAATAAAGTGTTCTTTGCGTTTGTGTTCAAGGTTTTTCTATTGCGTTTTTTAAAGTTCCATCCAATCGTTTTTGCATCACGGTCCGCTACTATGGTGTAGTTCAATAGTGATTTGTTTTTGTGTTTGTACACATCAAACCTTTTACATTGTAGTCGTATTATTTTTCCTCGGTTGGTATGACCAATGTAGTTTTAAGTACACCTACACGGCTTCGCGTATTACAACTATTATAATATCTACAATGTACTACTGGTGATGTTACACTTTGTGTAATATAAATAATATATTATTATGGTACTGTTGTTATTGGCGAACACCCGAAAAGCCATCGAAACGGAACCGTACAGGGCTTCTCATAATTTACCATTTTTTTTTCCCCGGACAAGGTCAACGCGAGCCTTGTTGACGTTTACCATTACATATTTTCATTCGAAAAGTGTGTTGATAGATGTAGAAATCTGGTCGCGATCATCTACACTGTTGCTTTATTTGTACACGTGTTTTGTAATAGGTCATTATTACCGCGGTCGTCAAAAACGTACGAATCTCGTTAATTTATTTTTTACATAACGTCGTCGCCGTCCTTTTTCACATACGAAAAACAACTTCCGGAGCATTTCTATTTACAAGACAGCACAATGACTCAACGAATATTTCATGAACATATAATATACACACAGTTTAGCGTTTTAACTCGCACATTCGTGTGTAAATTGGATTTTGCTTTACTTTTGTGCTCTTTACCACGGCACCGTCGTCTCTATAAATTACACTACGTGTACATTAGTGTTTGGAGGAGTCGTTATGACTTAACAACGTGTGTCACGACTACGTCTTTTCTTGCGTGCTCAGTACAGAATACCGCGGTATAGTAATTATCGTGTACCGTGTGTATATAAAGCGAAAAAACAAGACATGTTTATACAGTGTTTGTGTCGAAGAAACGGCTAGGTGGTCGGTCAACAGAACCGTGTTCTTCCACCGGCTGTCCGTCGGCCAGCGCATCTGCCGTAGGTAACTAGCGCATAAAATACAGTAACCCATTAAGGCGGTTTTACGGTTTCACGAATTTTTACGTAAAAAAAATGTGGACATTTCTGTGATCCGAAAATAATAATTGGTTGACCCAAATAAAAAGTGCCAGTAGCTAGCTGCGCGTACATTTTCTTGTGTGATACTGCCGATGATATCTACCGAACGATTTTTGTTTTATTCAGACAGTTGATAACGACATACACATGCGTCGTGTTATTTGTCCAATGGGTAGTAATTATGTTGTTTATAAGTCGAGTCGTTATGGCCGCAGTGTGGTGTCGCCCTAGTGTTTTACGTATAACTGGTTTTGTTATTAGGCGATTGGGAGTTCACGAACTTGTGTCATAAGTAATCGCACTTTACTGCTCTACGAGTTCAATTATTTGTTATTATTTTTAATTTATTAGCCGGGCGTGTAAACTTATGACTTTTTAGCATGAAAATATTGAAATTGAGGGCATTCCGTAGAACTCCAGGCAACATGCGCTGTGTTTTATGTAACACGCGTACTTCAATTTCGTTAATGATGGGAAACTTCCATCGCGTTTATAATAAACTATTTATTGCTTGCCATTAATGTATACGGCATTCCCTTGATAGGTGATATATAATATTGAATTGGGATTTGTAATATCGTTTTAACTAGTTGTTGTCACTTTATTATCGTTATTATAATAATTTTCATAGTATTTCTGAGTACGCTTATAGAAACTGTGAAAAATGTTTGTGCAAACATTTTTCAATAGCTTACCGGAAAAAATTTTTTTAATTTATTTTCATCTATTAAAACGTTTACAGTTTGAAATATATTTAACTAAATAATTGTTATTTTATCCGTTCATATAATTTTAGTTGTTCGCAAACGGTTGCAATTATTTGCACATGCAAGTTTGACATTTCAACTTGACATTTACACGGTAAATTACGAAACATTTTATTTTATTTTTGAAATTATCGCCTTTATTGAATGTTATGTCAGTGAATGTTGTTTTTAGGCTTATAAAAACATATCTCGGTTAAACGTCTCATTAATGTCAATTTTTCTCCTTGTGTTTACAACAGTTTTCATTTTCATTACATAATATCAGTTATAATTATTGTCATGTGATATCCTTGTAGGGTATGCATATAAAAGTATAAACAAACATGTACAACTAAGTACTTACGTACACCCTACACATTGAATAATGCATGCAATACTAATATGGTTCACACGTGCACAGTTGCACAGTAGCAAGGTACATAAGATAAAACTTGAAGATAATCAAATTTAGAAGTATGCTTATATAATTATAGGGAAATATATATACAGTCAGATTATAACAATTGGCGCATTACTTATTTCTTGTTTTTTTTTCAACAAATAAAAGAGAAAAAGAAGTTCCGCGACTAAATACAATTACCGGTAACTACTACAGAACAAAATAGCTCAGCTTATTATTGAACAATATCTAATTTGAATCGCACACAATTCGTAGTTAGTTAATTCAAAATGATAGGTGGACTTATCATTTTAATTGCAATACTTCACAAAACGAGCAGTTCATTTGTTAAAAGACATGCATTCTACATATTTTTTTTTTCAATTTTTATTTATTTATTTCCAAAAAAACACATAACAATTGCTGAAAAAAAACGAAAAAAATCTTCTTTAGAAGTTACTAAATAACTAAAATATTTTTTCCGCTATTTTTTAATTAATTTTGGACTAGACTAGGAATTATTAAAATAGCGTATAAATAATTTTTTTTTAACATAATTGTGGTGTTTTACATTTTGTTTTACTATTTGGCATAATTTATGAGCTTTTAACAAATTTATAAGGCATTAACTTTATGCCGTTGAAAATGCCTTCTTTTAATACTTATACGATTTCAAGATTAATTGAAATATTCAATCAGACGTGTAGGATGTCACTATTAGTTAATAATTCAACGGAAGAGGTCGTCTACCTCGTTTGATTCTACCACGGTTGACGTTGTGCCCACTCATTTGAAGTAGATAATTATCAACAAATAAATCAATTGTGATTAATGAATATAGATTCATAAACAAAATTAAACTTAATTCATTCTATTTGAATATTACTTTTAAATTTTTTTTTCGNATTAAACTTAATTCATTCTATTTGAATATTACTTTTAAATTTTTTATTCATGCAGGCTAAAATCTTGTAAAAGTCAGTAATTTATCATTTTATGCTAGCTAATTTTTAACGCTATTGTATTTCTAAAGTAGTGAGTACTATGTTTATAACGTTATATTGTTGTAGCATATAATATTTACTACAACATAATATTTATATGTTGTGGTGTTCAATGGACCATGTTTCATAGACCTTGTGATGTGGGAAAGGTGCACCCGGTCATTGGTGGAAAATCATTACGTGGAAAGTTAAATTTTCTCCGGTTATAAATTATATATAGAATTTCTTAAGAACATAACGATTGACACCATGTTTCATCTTTTTTATATGACACTTGACCGTATCGCGACGAATTTAGGTTATCATGACATTTTTTAGTATTGATAAATACCTCCACTATTATTTTTAATGGGCATGTTATATTTCACTCGTGAGTGCTATCAATCAAAACGCGTNATGACATTTTTTAGTATTGATAAATACCTCCACTATTATTTTTAATGGGCATGTTATATTTCACTCGTGAGTACTATCAATCAAAACGCGTATGGCACATGCTAATGAATACGACCACTGAAAGTTCTTCAATGGGCCCCTCACGTTTTTTTTTGTTTTTTTTTTTTTTAATGTCCACCTATTATGTTCATGGAGACATTAAGTGTAAAAGTTATGTTTAATTCGTAATTATAAAACATACTTTGCCGTTGTAAGTAGAACAGTGCGGTACAAGGTCATTTCGTGTACGGATAGAATTAAATATAAGAGATTGATGGCCCTCGAGTAACAATATGAGATCCATCGAGTGGTCTCCTCTCAGCATTCGACGTATGTGTTATAAAGTGTCCCGAAGCACTTTGCATGGCGCGAGTTGTTGTGCTATAAGAAATGTACTGCCGTTGTGGGATACCTGTGATGAGGAATGACCTGGAAAATATAAAAAGTCAGAAACACATTGTAAGAACTTAATATTATAGAGGGAAAGGTTTATTGTTGTATTGCATATAGATATGTATGCATTGGATATTGTTTAATGACTTTTATTGTCTTCCGACTCCGTACAAAGAGTTTAGTTCCTGAGTACTATTAAAACATTTTTAGCAATTATTACTGAATTTTTAATACTCTAAAATATGTAATTTTAAGTTACTTACACTCTTCTTTATTGTGATATTTAAAATTATTTTATTTTTTCAGTTGATCAGATGATGTCGTCCATGAAACCGGCTCCGCTACAGTTTGTAAAGCTGCAAACTTCATCTGATCGTTACCGATCGGCTCAGGAGCAGCAGCTGAACAAAGTAGCGATAGCCAAACCAAAAAATAAAGAATTTGATGCAGATTGGCAATCAGTAAGTATCTGTCGCTCCTTTTTGTTTTTTTACACTACAACATTTTTATGGTAAATGGTTTTATTTTTTATGTCACATTAATTCATAGTTTTTTCACGTATGAAGCTAAATTATCTGTAGAATGGTACTAATTAAAAATTCAGTGTAGATAGCTATTAATATTTGCATTTTTACCGTGATTTGGTTTGATATAAATAAATTTGTTTAAAATTTATAAAAAAAATCATTATAAATAATGAAATTACAAAGCATAGTTAAATAAAAATAAATCACTGAAAATTATTTTTCATTTGTATTTTTATTTTTTAATCTTATCATTTGCAGATAAACACTTTGTATATAATAATTTAAAATAAAATGACGCAACTTAGCTATGTGTAATCTGTTTGTCTAAGATTTTAATAAGTGGTGTTCAAGTAAAAAAAAAAGCCGAATAGTAACATAAATTTAATCTTTATTTAAATACCATACCTTACCATTTGTGTTTTTCTTTTGTACTTAAATAAATTTATATTGACATGCAATTACCTGACTAAAAATTATAGACTATTCTGTGATTACGTTACATTTTAAGAAATAATATTCATATTCTACGATAATATTCAACACTGATTGTTCACTCAGTTTTTCAAATTTTTAATGTGTTAACTGTATGTTTTATCTACCAGGACTTGGATAATTGGAAGAGCAATCGAAGAAAACAACAAGAACATATCATTGAACGATTAGTAGAAGTAAAAAAATTCGAAACTGATCGGCTTGATGATGGTTTCCGAAAAAGAAGCAAAACATTTAACGAAATGATACAAGAAAGGTAAGGTGTATCAATTCTTGTAAAATTACACACAACCAGCTTATTAAATTTAAGTAGTAGTACAGACTACAGTGTTATAATTTTTTACTTTTCAAGATGTTATTATGATTGCGCATACAACTATTATTATAGTTGCGTTACTGAAGGAAAAATTTACTTTATACATAATAATACTTGAACCTCTAACTTAATAGGAATGTTGGTAGTATTTACTGCTTGTAGGAAACCTGTTCGCGATGGCATTATTGTAATTAAAATTCATTATTTTCCTAAATATTTATAAATTATGTAATTGTGTAACTCATTTTAAGGGCATTCATAGCTAATTTAATTATACAAGTTATTATCGAGTTGAGATTAATGGAATAGATTTATATATATATATATATCAATAGATTCTATCCTATTGTTTCGTTGGATTGTATAGGACAAAATTCTCTGGTAATTTATTGCATTTTTGTTTACTTACAAACTTGTCGCATAACTTTTGAAAAAATTGTAACGGCCAAGTTTACATTGTGTAGTACTTCCTACACGTTTACCATAAGCATAGATACAATCGATTATTGTTGTCTTGTTATGAGTTGCATGCGGTAATACAATCACAGTGTTTCCTAACTCAGTGTCGTAATAACAAATTATTCTTCGTTTAATTCGAATTATACTTTTATTTTGCACTGGTCAGTGAAAGTCTCATTTTTTCATGAGAAAATATATTTTCGACTAAGAAACTTTTTTTATTTTCCCAATTGGATGATCAATTACAGACATAGTTACATATCTTATTTAGATGTTATTTATTTTAAAAACAGACCAAAGTAAATTAATAAAAACAAACGTTATCTATTCTTATGTACGGGTTGTTGCATTCCATTGATTTTTTAACAATTGTGTAAATGTAGGCGGACAGTCAATAATATAATAATAGTGAGCTGTTGTGTATGCGAATATCTTTATTTATTTCTTGACAGCCATGAATTCAAGTTGATCACCACCTGTTAATATTTTAAATTCACGAAATCAATCATTTGTCCGTTTGATAATATTTTACTTATAGTCATTATATAAAAATCATTATTATAAAAACATTCTACGCTTAAATAAAATGCTACGTTTTTGTTGTTTTTTCATGCCGTAATTATTTATTTCGTCTAATTTTTAACGTAAAAACGGTATTTTTTAATCAGTCAAAGTACATGTAGAGATGTATTATTCTATACATTGATTGCAACAAATTTCAGAAAATATAACCGAATAAACATTAAAAAAAATTCCCATAAGCTGTCCTATTTAAAAAACGTATAAAGTGTCTTATGCAAGTACAATAAACTTATAAATATTTAATATTCAAGTTATGCATTGATTCGTAATGNATAAACTTATAAATATTTAATATTCGAGTTATGTATTGATTCGTAATGTTAAATATTTTATTCTAAGTTTACAATTTCAGACGATAGCAAACTATATTTACTGTTAAATCACTTTGTGTGAAATAATTATATCTAAATAATTGCTGAAAATAAATAGACAATCTTTCTAGTGAGTCTAACAGATGATTTGAACCAATTTCCAAGCTCTACTTTTAAGTTGGTACACATCTTTCGCATATCAAAACGCTGTATTAAATTTTCTAATCATGTTAATGGATCTTTTAATTTTACTGCCAATGTACGTTTTATTTTATAAAACTGCACAAACAGGTAAAGGTACAAAACGTATGCATACAAGGAGGAAATTACTATGAAATTTTATATTGTGACACAATTAAACCATTCGAAAACCCAGTGGCGGTGAACATTTTAAATTCATTCGCTGTGTAATAGAAGGATGTATTATTTTATTGTCATTGTTTTATAAAAGTGATGCGCATGTTAGAGAGAAAATCAAATTCAACTTTGCGCTTTATTTTCATTCAAATTTACAAAAGGAAAAAGTTCTTAACTCTCTCTCCCTAACCACACGTTGTCATTTGAAATTGGAAGATTTCTCATCTGGAAGTCGTAAATCATTGTGTTATATGTCATTGATAAATAATAACAATATAATGGTGACATAATACGTATAACTTTTAAATACTTATTATAATAGTCTCCACCATCAGTTAAAATGTATTCATATATAAGTGATTATACTAATTTTTACATGTAATAGATTCAGTTCAAAATAATTCACATTCTGTTCAGTCAATAAATGTTTCCAATGTTGTTTGGCATGGTTTTTTAGTATTTTTTTCTGATTTATAACCGTTTTTTCGCATTTCTATGCATTATACTGTTGACTTTCTGTAATTCGTTTGTATTCAAATAGATGTAATTTCCTGTAATCATAACCACATTTCTAATGAGCCTAGGTTAATGCATCTATTTATTTAAATCAGCGGTTGCTGCCATTTAAATACTGTTAATGTTGTTACCACGTTAGTGATATAATTGAAACCCAAACATCATCAATTTTCGTAATTTGCATTAATATTATTTATAAATCAGAATAACTAATTCTCTTCGAGTGGTGAAATACCACGTTTATCAAACAAATCAATTAATCAAATTTTAGTAAATTTAATCATTATTTATGCTAACATTTTCAGCGATTTTTATTAATAAGTTCGTGAATGGATTGATGGAAATTCCATGTTTATTAATTCTTTTATTTTTATTTAAATATTAAAAGTCACGTAGAATATATAACTTAAAACGCATATTATTAAAATTTAATTAAGTATAAGAAAGTAATGAATTGCTGTAAAAAGTGATTATTTTAACGTTCGCCACTCAATTTCTTTTAAAATAACAAGTTCTATGAAATATTTTTATTGGTTTTTGTTAGTTACATATGTGTTTCCATTTATCTGTTATAAAATATTAATTTTATTTTTATTAAACGTACATATTTAACTAGCTTATTAAATAGAAAATTAATTATTTAAGAAAATTACTGGTCGATAACAACTTCTGAATCGGTATTTCAGAATTTGCGATAATTGTTTAAAATAACTATGTAAGTGAGGAGTGGGTGAGGATTTTTATCACTAAACATTCCCTGTCGTATTCTTCCACCCTCCTATCTATGAAAATGAGAATAACTTCAGAAGTACTGATCCAAAAGTTGTTATTGACCAGTCATTTTCTTAGTCAGATAATTTTCTATTTTATAAGCTAATTTAATATGTATGCTTCTATTAAAAAAAATTAGTTGGCATCCCTATAAGATATAAGAGATGAACCTAAAAATTATTTTAAAATAGATATATAGATATATATATGTAACTAACAAAAACAAAAAAAAAATTCAAAGAACTTATTATTTTAAAAGAAACTGAGTGGCTTGCGTTAAAATCACTCTGTATATCATGACGTGTAAATTTATGTATTTGTTTATTAGTTGTTATGCACATGTAATTTTAAAATTGCTAAAAATAATATTTTGTAACTATCCTAAAATTACTATTCCAAGTGAAAATTGTAAAAACATTTGATTATAAAAATTATGCGTATTACTTAGATGTTTACATAGCGTTCAACATTTTTGTTGTTCACTATCTTGGTCTTATACTAAAATGTGTTTTTTTTTTAACATCTAATAAGACTGTTATTTATATTATTTTGACAACTAGATCTCTTTCAGTGTTTCTATTAATCGTAAATAGACACGCTTATTTATGCTAAGAGTTATTATTTCCTGTTTTCTATATTTAATTGTCCTAATTTTTATTTAGATTTTTTAGGAGTTCAGTTAAAATTATCTTTAATGATATTACTGTCCAATTTATATCACTTAAAACATAAGTTAACAGAAAGCATATTTCAGAATTAAAATAAAATAAAAACCAATAAAAATATTATGTGTATGACTTGTGGAATTGCCTTGTGAATCATTAAAATATTAAAAAAACTGTTATTAGGCATTTTTTAATGCATGCATGCATTTGCTACGCGTTTCTACAATTTTCTCAAATTTTTACTATTAATAGTTTATTTTACATTTTTATTTTATTTAATTGAAATATTTTTAATCCGAAATTTTTTTTATTATTTGTAAATGCTAACGTATTGTATTATTTTTAAAGTATTTAATGTCAAATATCATTATTGATCAACTGAGAATTAATTAAAATAAATAACTTGACACTTTATAACAAAAAATATTTTATTTTTATAAAATAGAACTTCAAGAAATAATTTATTCTCTGACTTTTATTTCATATGTTTCGAGTATTGTATGTATTTTTTCATTAATGGGAAATGTCTCAAAAATGTATTTGAAACAAGAACGTTTTTTCAGTTAATTATAACTTAATTATGGTTTTAAATACAGAAATGTACCCAATGTTTTGTATTTCCACGAAATTATGCATTGTTGCGTTATGTTGTGACAATCAACATATTTAACAGGAAGTACGGAATTGTGACTTTTCGTAAAATCGCGTGCAAATTATAACGTAAGTTGGACAAATTATAGTAGTCCTTTTTAAAGTTACTGTCGAATAAAAACTAATCTGTAGTAATTTTCTTTTAAAATTAAGCGCACCATTTGATGTGGCATTTAAAAAATTGCAAAAATTTACTTAGCTACTGTAAAACTTAAACACCTTATTAATATTTATTCGATTTGATTTTTGTCTTATTTCTTTTATACGTATTTGTTCCTCTTTAAAAGATAAATATCAGTTTAGTTGGAAATTAAACATTTCAACGAGTTTGATTAGTTTTTAGATTTTATCAGAATTTTTTCAACTATAGATATCTCATAGCTGTATAGTAGTTAATGAATATAATTTTTTCTGGTATATAACTCGCTAATGAGGAGTACTAGTAATTTCATCAGTATTAGGATTCTTAATATACTTATACCTCAATCATCTCATATTAAATTTCCGCCACTATTTAAAGATATAAATTTTGGTTACGGATATTATCGTTTTGAATTTCGATCGGTTTTCTATCCGATGAACTAGTATCTTAATTAAAATCTATTAAAGAATCCCTCGTGGCGTATCGGTTGACTGTATAAATTCCAAA